ACGAGCCTCAATAGAGCTGGAAAAAAAACAATTAATTAATTAAAAATGGAGAACCTAAGGTTGGAAAAGAAGAGTTTCTAGGAAAAAAGAAAAAAGTCTTTTTTTGTTGTTGTTGCCACATCTATTGCAAGAATGAAGACCATTCTCAGGAACCAGACTGTTGACATTCCAGAAAATGTTGACATCTCTATGGAGGGACCCACAGTTATTGTGAGGGACCCCAGAGGAACCCTGCGGAGGGACTTCAGTCACGTCAACGTAGAACTCAGCCTTCTTGGGAAGGAAAAAAGAGGCTCCGGGTTGACAAATGGTGGGGTAACAGAAAAGAACTGGCTACTGTTCACACTATTTATAGTCACACACACAACTTGATCAAGGACATTACACTGGGCTTCCGTTACGAGATGAGGTCTGTGTCTGCTCACTTCCCCATCAACATCCAAGAGAATGGGTCTCTGATTGAAATCTGAAATTTCTTGGGTGAAAAATACATCCCCAGGGTTCAGAGGAGGCCAGGTGGCACTTGTTTGTATCTGAAGTCCAGAAAGATGAATTAATCCTTGAAGGAAGTGACATTGAGCTTGTTTCAAATTCAGCTGCTTTGATTCAGCAAACAGTTAAAAACAAGGATATCAGAAAATGTCTGGATGGTACCCAGGTCTCTGAAAATATACAGTTCAGCAGGCTGATGAATAAGATCTAAGAGTTGTCCAGCTATAGAAACAAGATGCTGGATGACTCCTAAAACCAGTTTGTGATATTTAAATGATGCAATAAAAGATCTATTGATTTTAGGGGGAAAAAATAGGTGTCTGGAAATAAAGAAAAGGGTATGTGGGAAATAAGTCTGGAAAGGTGGAGTGTCAGTTGTAAATGACAGAAAGCAACACAGACTCCCTTGAGATAACACGGACTTAATTGATAATAGAACTGTGAGGTCTAGGAGGTGAGGTTAGCTCCAGACCTGAGGAGATCCTGGGACTCAAGCAAGATCATTAGTTCTTACTTTCCCAGCACACCTTCCCACTCCCCTCACACAAAATCTTCATCCATCCCTTGGTGTTACTCTCCTCTCCCCTGTCACCTTCCTTCCCTTCTTCTGCAGACAGGCATTCTCACATGGTAGGAAAGACGGCCATCAGAGGCCTCCAGTTCACATCCTCACAGTCCTGTAACCCAATAGGTAAGGCTCCTTCCACAGCTTCAGAAAGAAAAACTCCAGGGAAGGACTCTGATTGACTGGGTCACATGCCCACTCTGGCTCAACTGCTATAGCCAAGAGATTGGGGTACCATGAATAGTAGAATTGGCCTAGCATTGATCACATACTTACCCTGTGTCTTCCAGGTAGGGGAAGTTCTCAAAGGAAGTAGGAATGCTGAGTACAGAAAAACAGAGATGTCCCCATTTATAGGAGGAAGCCAGTCATGCAGAGAGCCTCAAGGTTGTTAAAATGCATCCTCTGAAGGAAGAGACCCCCACAAACAGGCTTTGTGTGAGCAACATGGCTGTTTATTCAACTGGGTGCAGGCAGACTGAGGCCAAAAAGGGCATCAGCAAACAGTGGTGGGATAGGAGTTGGAAAGCTCAAGCTATGAAGTCTGAACTCCTGGCAATATGAGGCCATTAAAAATATTGAAATAAGAAGGTGGCTGTAGATTAACAATTGGACTAGATCATCTTCTAGGTTTCGTTTCATTCCTTTTTTTTTTTTTTTTTTTTTTTGATAAGATATCACTCCGTTGCTCAGGCTGGAGTACAGTGGTGTGATCATAGCTCACCACAGTGTCCAACTCCTGGGCTCAAGTGATCCTCCTGCATCAGCCTCCTGAGTAGCTGGAATCACAGACTTGTACCATCACACCTGGCTAATTTTAAAATTTTTTGTAGAGATGGAGTCTCACTATGTTGCTCTGGCTAGCCTCTAATTCCTGGGCTCAAGTGATCTTCCTGCCTTGGTCTCCCAAAGTGTTGGGGTTACAGATGTGAGCCACTGCACCCAGCAAACCTTAATTACTGAGCCACAGCATGTAATCACTGAGGCTCCACTCTATGTTAAAAATCATTCTGGGAGTTGGCGGAGGTGCAGGTAAAAAATAAAAATAAAAAAATAAAAACATTCTGATTATTGAAAGAAAGGCCTTCCTGAATGTTAGTGTGTAAGGAAGTAAAAAAGATGGTTGCCCTAATATAAACTATGAACTTTGGGTGGTAATATGTGTCAGTGAAGATTCATTGATTGTAATAAGTGTACCACTGTGGTGCAGGGTTGATAGTGGGAGAGGTTGTGTGTTTGGGGAGCAGGAGATACTTGGGAATCCTATACTTTCTGCTCAATTTGCTGTGAGCCCAAAATTTCTGTAAAAAATAGTCTATTAAAAGCCAAAAGAAGATAGTGGGGCTGCTGTTAGCAGATAACCTTACGAATGGAGATAAAAACTTAAATATTTTACATTTAGAGAGGCAAAATGTCCCCAGCTGACATACAGTCACCAGCCGGTGGCTTCCCAGCTGAGATTACTCTCAGCCCTAAATCTTTCATCCTTTTTCTGGGATCATACCCTTAATTCTGGTGCTGAGGATCTGTATTAGTGAGAATGAATAAATTCAGTCATTCTGCAAACACAGCTTTTTTTTTTTTTTTTTTTTTTAAGATGGAGTCTCATTCTGTCTCCTAGGCTACAGTGCAGTGGTGAGATCTCAGCTCAACGCAGCTTCTGCCTCCCAAATTCAAGTGATTCTCTGCCTCAGCCTCCCAAGTAGCTGGGATTACAGGCGTGTGCCACGACACCCTGCTAAGTTTTGTATTTTTAGTAGAGACAGAGTTTTGTCATGTCGGCCAGGGTGGTCTCAAACTCCTGACCTCAAGTGATCTGCCTGCCTCAGCTTTCCAAAGTTCTGGAATTACAGGCATGAGCCACTGTGCCCGGCCTTTTTTTTTTTTTTTTTTAATTAGAGTGAAAGTTTATTTAAAAACTTTAGAGTAGTAATGAAGGGAAGGAGAAAAAGAAAAGAACACTTGGAAGAAGATCAAGCAGGTGACAGGAGAAACCAGGCACCTGTTACTTGCTTCTTAAAGAGCAAGGAGAAATTAGCCAGGCTTAGTAATGGGATGGGCCAGGAGTGAGAAATCTCATCAGAGGCAACAAAGATCAGATGTACCAGGTCCCAAGGCAAGTTTAGGTAATTTAAAATATATATATATACCTCTGGCCAGGTGAGGTGGCTCACACCTGTAATCCATCACTTTTAGAAAGCAAGTAAGGAAGATCACCTGAGGCCAAGAGTTCAGGATCAGCTTGGGCAACACAGGGAGACCTTGCCTTTCCCCCCCAAAAAAATTAAAGAAATTAGCCACGTGTGGTGATGCGTGCCTGTAGTCCTAGCTACTAAGGAGGCTGAGTTGGGAGGATCCCTTGAACCCAGGAGTTCAGGGCTGCAGTGATCTATGATTACACCACTGCACTCTGGCCTGGGCAACAGAGTGAGATCCTGTTGCTAGCAAAAAAGAAAAAAAAAGTACCTCAAATTGCAAGGTTTAAAGAAAGCCTATTTAAACTTTGAACATCAACCAAAGGAATTTTTTTTTAACTCAATGGTTAAAGAGTTGCTTATTAATCTTCTAAGGGATGTGAATAGGAATCAGGTTTTTAGATTTCTATAATGTTTCATACCTTACCCCTCTGACCTGTTTTTTGTTTTTGCATTCCTTTATTCATTCCTTTATTCAGATACATATAGAGTGGGCCTGTGCTAGGTGCCTACTAGATTGTGGTGAGTGAAACTGATATAGTGCCTGCCCTCAGAGAATTTATAGGTGAGATGGGTGAGAGTGGGAAAACCAATAAAACAGATAAATAAGTGTGAACTTATAAAGTGAGAAAATGGCTAAGAAGTGTGCTCTGATGGAAAATACGCGGGAAACTGCAAGGAAGGTCTGTCCAATCAGACCATCATATGCCTGCTAAGCCACCACAGTCAGTGTGGGTGGGTGTGGGTGGTCTTATTAGGCCGTCCTGCCTGCGTGCACACACATGCACGCACGCTCTCTATTTTGCTGGAAATCTACAAGTGGGGGTGAAGACCTCACCTCAAAACCACCACTTTCAACCTGCACAGGAAAATACAGTGAAAACAGATTTTCACCAAAGCCCCAAAACTGGAAATGAGAAGTGTTAACGTGCGAAGTAACACTTCTCATTTCCAGTTTTGGGGCTCTGGTGAGAGAAGAGACCTCCCAAACAGGCTTTGTCTGAGCAAGATGGCTGTTTAATCACCCTGGTGTGGGTGGGCTGAGGCCGAAAAGGGCATCAGCCAAGGGTGGTGGGATAGGAGCTGGTTTTATAGGTTGAGGTAGGCAGTGGAAAGTTACAGAAGTTACGGTTTAGGGTGGATTTTTGCAAGCTGGGAGGGGGTCGTAGGTTGCCTGGTGGGAGGGGGATCCTGGGATGTGGAGTCACAAGGTTGACCAAGGTCAGTTACAAAGCCCAATGGCCTTATCGATTGGGGCAGGACAATAGAGAATGTCTTAAAATTCAGTAGGCACTGTAGGGGTTGATCACTTTTTCCTCTTTTCATGGTCTTCCAGTTACTTTAGATTTTCCAGGAACTCATCTGGAGTGTCCGTGCAGGTCACAGAGGTAAACATGGCGTCCATGGGGCCATCAGTTGGCCTAAAAGACCTTACAAGAAGCAATCTCCAGGTTCTACTAGTCCCAATTTTTTCTTTTTTTTCTTTTCTGAGATGGAGTCTTGCTTTTGTTGCCCAGGCGGGTTCAAGCGATTCTCCTACCTCAGCCTCCCCCTAGCTGGGACTACAGACGGGCGCCACGATGCCCAGCTAATTTTTTTTGTATTTTTAGTTGAAATGAGGTTTCACCACGTTGGCCAGGCAAGTCTCCATCTGACCTCGTGATCCGCCCACCTCGGCCTCCCAAAATGCTGGGATTACAGGCGTGAGCCACAGCGCCTAACCAATAGTCCCACTTTTGGAAAGAATTTATTTGAGTAATTAATTCTCTTAGACAAAGGAGCTGCTAAAAACCAGCCCGACCCTGACATGTTCTAAGTGACATTTTCCAATCGCAAACATCGATTTTGGCGTTGGGTGGAGCAGTGAGGAGACTCCGCGGCACACGCCATTGCTTTCACAATGTGTATGATAGGAACTGTATATGAGAAAGCAAAGAAATAAGGAGGCCTGGGGTCAGGACCGGCCTGGTTGCCAGGTCTCCCTCAGGCAGGAAAGACGCGTCCTCGCAGCCTGGAACTTTGTGTGTCCGGTTCTGGCTGCCCGGGCCGCCGGGGAAGCATTTCAGAGTGGGACCGCGAGAAGCCGCTTGTAAACAGAGCCGGGCCGGGATGGTCTGCGTCCGGGCGGGCTGTCACTGTGAGGCGGGCGGCAGGCTGCAGGAGCCAAGCCCAAGCCGGGAGCGGACTGCAGGCCCCGCAGGTGAAGGAAGAGTAGAAGCCGGCGCCCGGGTGAGCATCCTCTGCTTCTGTGCTGCCTGGCCGGCCAGTTTGGGGGATGGGGTGGGGACGACAGCATTGTAAATATCCGAGCAGCTTCCAGGGGTAGCGGTGATTTTGCTGTTTCTTCCATGCTCTGGTTTTTATTTCGTGCTGGTGATTGTACCACATTGCAATGGCTAATGGGTGAGGGAAGATTACATGATGCGTTGTCTGCTTATTTTTGTGAATCAGGTATATTATAGGAGGAGAAAGTAGTTGAAATAGTAGGTGATCTTGCTGAGTGCGTTATTAGTAACCCCTGCCATCCCCGCCTGGGGGTTGTAAAACCAAACCCCAGCAGAGCTTTTAATGTACATCAAGCTGGTGCTTCGAAAAAACGATTGTTCTTTCTGTCGACTCTGTCCGTTTTTAATGTATAGTAAATGACACCATATGACTGATGACAAGCATAATTTGGTTTTATAGAAAAGAAGCTAAAAAATTAAGTTAAAGAAACCTCACATTTATCTCTTAAAAATAAATTACTTCTGAGATATATATTAGGATGACAAATTACGACTGGTCTAGATGTATACCTTGCAAAGCAAGACAAAATTAAATTTACCAGGTTAAACTGAGATTGAGCCATGTTGTTGTAAACTTATTTAGAAGTTTATTTCTTGATTCTTTTTTCTTCCTTGGAAGGAACCAGAGAGAAACAGCTCTATTTTTTCTTTATATTTTAATTTAAGTAATCGTAGTGAATTGTGATTTGTATTTATAAATTATTTTATTATAAAATACTACATGTAAATTATAATTGGCATACTTAAAATACAAGCCAGTTTTTGTTTGACTGACTTTAAGAAAATGCCTTAACAAAAGCTGGGCTATACGTATAGTCTCTAAAAAGGTAATAGACATTTGTAATCTTAGTCACATAGTCTTTTAGACAGGAGATGAATATTAAGTTAAATCGTACCTATAATACATAGCTATACATAGAAGAAATGATATTAATACCTGATGAGTTTTCCTTTTCTCTCTCTTTTTTTTTAGACAGTGTTTTCACTCTTGTTGTCCAGGCTGGAGTGCAATGGCGTGATCTTGGCTCACTGAAACCTCTGCCTTCTGGGTTCAAACAATTCTCCTGCCTCAGCCTCCCCAGCATCTGGGATTATAGGCACCCACCACCACACCCAGCAAATTTTTTGTATTTTTTGTAGAGATAGGGTTTCACCATGTTTACCAAGCTGATCCTGAACTCCTGACCTCAGGTGATCCACCTGCCTCGGCCTCCCAAAGTGCTGGGATTACAGGTGTGAGCCACTGCTCCTGTCCCGAGTTTTTCTTTACAATGAATATTTTTACAGTATACTGGGTTACAGCAAAAACTATAAAGCCGGGCTGGTTCAGACTGAATTCCTGCCCGGTCACTTCCTAGTTGTGTAATCTTGGGCAGTTTACTTAGCTTTTCTGTGTCCTAATCTGTAGACTGGGAATAATAACAGTACTGACCTCATTAGGGTTTTTATTATTGTTATTGTTATTTTATTTTATTTTGAGACAGGGTCTTGCTCTGTCACTCAGGCTGGAGTGCAGTGGCGTGATCATGGCTCACTGCAGTCTCGACTTCCCAAGCTCAAGAGATCCTCCCACTTCAGCCTCCCATGTGACTGGGACCATAGGCACATGCCACCACACCTGGCTAATTTTTGTATTTTTGGCAGAGATGAGGTTTTGCCATGTTGCCCAGGCTGGTCTTGAACTCCTGAGCTCAAGGCTTAGAACAGTACCTGGCATATAGTAATTGCTATATACATGTTTGTTAACGAATATATAAAATAAAAATATGCCAGTATTGAAAGTGGAATGGTGATCACCAGGGCCTGGAGGGAGGGAAGCAATGGGGATTTGTTGTTTAATGCGGCGGTCCCCAACCTTTTTGGCACCAGGGACTGGAAGACCGTTTTTCCACAGAGGGGGTAGTGTGGGGTGGGGGAGTAGAGGGGAATAATCTCAGGATGAAACTGTTCTACCTCAGATCATCAGGCATTAATTAGATTCTCATAAGGAGCATCCAACCTAGACCCCTTGCATGCACAGTTCACAATAAGGTTCGTACTCCTGTAAGAATCTAATGCTGCTGATAATCTGACAGGAAGCGGAGCTCAGGGGGTAATGCTTGGCTAGTCCACCACTCACCTGCTGTGTGGCCCAGATCCTAACAGGCCATGGGCCAGTACCAGTCTGCAGGCATGGGGGTTGGGACTCCTGGTTTAATGGGTATAGAGCTGCAGTTCTGCAAGATGAAGAGTTCTGGAGACTGGCTGCACAACAGTGTGAATGTACTTAATACTGAACTGTACACTTAAAAATGGTTACAATGGGACTGGATATGAAGGCTCAGGACTGTAATTCCAGTGATTTGGGAGGCTGTGGTGGGAGCACTGCTTGAACCCAAGAGTTAGCAGTTAAGGGAGGTATGATTATGTCTCTGCAAACCAGTCTGGGCAACCTAGCAAGACCATGTCTTAAAAAAAAAAAAGGTTAATATGGTAAATTTTATATTATATGTATTTTACCACAATTAAAAAATTTTAAATACTAGTGTGAGCAAAGTTATGTCTTCAAACTTTTATTAGCATGCTGCAACCCCATTCATAGTTGCCTTTGCCATTATGGAAATGCAGCTTCTGGCCGTCATTCACTTTTTTAGTAGAGTCATGTAATTGAGATTTAATTATAGAGAATACAAACAAATGATAAGAACGACACTTAAGACTATGTGAGGGGGCCGGGCGCGATGGCTCACACCTGTAATCCCAGTACTTTGGGAGGCCGAGGCCGGTGGATCACGAGGTCAAGAGATCCAGACCATACTGGTCAACATGGTGAAACCCCATCTCTACTAAAAATACAAAAAAAATTATCTGGGCATGGTGGCGTGTGCCTGTAATCCCAGCTACTCAGGAGGCTGAGGCAGGAGAATTGCCTGAACCCAGGAGGCGGAGGTTGTGGTGAGCCAAGATCGCGCCATTGCACTCCAGCCTGGGTAACAAGAGCGAACCTCAGTCTCAAAAAAAAAAAAGACTATGTGAGGCAGAATTCTAAAAATGCCTCTCTACTAAAATTGCTCTCTGTAATCTGTGAAACCTGTGCATATAATATCACTTTCCTGATTATGTTATGTGGCACAGTTGAATTTAAAATGGCAAGATTTTCTGGGTTGGTCTAATCTAAATAAAAGTAGAGAGCTTTCTCTGTCTGGGAAATTGGAGAGACTTAAAGCAGGAGAAGGACTTGGCATGCTGTTGCTGTGTTGAAAGTGGAGGGGAACTGTTGAGGAGGAATTTGGGCAGCCTTGAGGAGTACTGGAGGTCTGGAGTTGCTGAGGGTGGCCCCAGCTACCAACCAGCATAGAAAGAAATGGGGACGTCTGACATGAGGAACTAGAATCTGTCAACAATCCCAATAAGCTCGTAACTGGATTCTTTACCTGAGTTTCTATTAACAGATAAGAGCTCAGCCTGGCCACCACCTTGGTTCCAGCCTTGTGTGAGAGTTCTGAGCAGAGAATCCAGCCAAGCCCATCCAGACTTCTGACCTTCAGAACCGAGAAAATAAATAGGTGTTGTTTTAAGTTACTAAGTTTGTAGAAATGTGTTATGCACCTAATACGGAAACAAAAATTGAAATAATAGCAAAGTATCATTTTTTCCAAATCTCAAATTAACATAAATTTTAAAAATCGTCCACACCAGTTAGTGTGCAGCGCACGAGACACTTGCAAACTCTAGGAGGGATGCACAATTGCTGTCACCTTTCTGAACAGCTCATTGGGTGAATGTAGGAAAAGTCTCAATGATGCTCCTACCGTTTGACCCAGTAATTCCATTTCTATGGTCCATCCAAAGGAATTTATCAGAAATATTTTAAAAGTTAATGTTCAGAGATGCTCAATATGACTTTAATTAGAAAAAAATGTAATAACCTAAATGCCCCAAAATGAGAACTATGGTGTTGTCAAAAGATACAGTGTTATATAGACACTAAGAAGGATTTTTTAATGAAGAAGTTTAACAGCGTGGAAAGGTGTTACCAATGATTGCTAGGTGTGGAGAAGTGTGACAGAAAACGGTATCTATAATAAGCTCTGAACTATGTTTTAAAAAAATCTGGCTAGGCACGGTGGTTCATGCCTGTAATCCTAGCACTTTGGGAGGCCAGGGCAGGCGAATCACGAAGTCAGGAGTTTGAGACTAGTCTGGCCAACATGGTGAAACCCCGTCTCTACTAAAAATACAAAAAATTAACTGGGTGTGGTGGCAGGCACCTATAATCTCACCTACTCAGGAGGCTGAGGCAGGAGAATCACTTGAACCCAAGAGATGGAGGTTGCAGTGAGCCAAGATCATACCACTGCACTCCAGCCTTGCGACAGAGCAAGGCTCTGTCTCAAAAAACAAAAGAAAACAAAAACCAAATCTACATAAGGAAAGGGCTGAAAGGGCCACGATGGGGCAGTGCTTTTTTCCAGTGGAGGGTGAATAGGCATTGTTTATTTTGCCTTTTATTTTCTTCCATATTTTCAAAATGGCAAGCAATGAACATGTAGTACTTACTTATAATCACAAAAGTCAATAAACATTATTTTAAAAGCTGTTAAGTTTCTACATTGTGGGAAATACAATGGCTGTAAAACATAGTGCAGTCAAATACTGGAGATAAAATCCATTAATAAGTATGTGGCAGAAAGTGATTTTTTAAAGAAAATAAGATAGAAAACAAATTATTGAAAAGATTGAAAATAAAGTTGGAAACTATTTCATAGTAGGGCAGTAAGTGAAAGCTTCATGGTAGAAGGATCACTGAATTTCATATAGAAGTCATAGAAAAAGAAGGCACATGTATTTGTTTTCTCATAGATTGATGGACTTAGGTTTGGGCTATGGACCCAGGTTAATAATACTAGTGGGAAACAACTGTGAAGAATATGTAACCATTTGCAAAAAAAAAAAAAATGGTGC